GGGGGGGGGCGGAAGGGTGGTGAGGGCTGAGGGCAGTGGCTTCAAAACTCGCCCTTCCCCCCCTGCTACTCAGTCCGAGTGGAACGAAGAACGAGTTTTGTGCCCACAAAAACTGGGTTTTTATAGGGGAGGAATCTGGGCACAGTCAAGGCAGGGGGTGTATGGATGACCGCGAGATGACCTGTAAACTGCGTTTACTCTGATATATTATTTTTGGTTATGGCGCAATAAGCTTAGGAGTGCAATAAGTAAAGGCGCAATAATATTTTTTTTGTTTTGAGGTCTAGCATATCCTATGTGCTTGACCTCATAAATCATTAGTGTCCTTCCCTATTATTTTTCAGTAGCAAAACAATATGCTACAAAATGGGAATATCAGACATGCAGCTAGCGAGACTGACATCGAAAGTGTGAATCTTGTTACTTTAAGGCATTAGTCTAGGAAAAGAGAAAGTAGACAAGAAGGCATTAAGCCCTTGTAAAAAATATAGAGTACAAAATCACCACGACTCAACCGGAGCACAACCTGCAACAAAAACTAACTCCCACAAGCTGATAAATTGCTTCAAATAATCGCCGCGATTTGCTCAACAAGAAACATCAAGAAAAAATCCTTAAGCATACCTCGTGAAAAATTCATAGGAAGAGATACGATTTTTCTGATGTGGATGGAAAGAACGCTGAACATTTTGAGGAACACCGAACACACGCGTGAGCAGTGCAGCGAACAGTTGCGATGCAGCATTTCGAATTGCCCAGCAATCGCTACCAAAACAAACAAAGCAGAGACTCATCGCCGGCTCCAAGTAAATCAAAATGGCCTCAGATAAGCGACTGTCCGAGAAAATTGCCCGCAAAATATTAATGCTGTTGATTCTGAAATAAGAGCATTAAGAAGACGAAAAAAAAAGATCTGTACGGCAGCAGAGTGAGTCAATAAAAACTATCCTGAAATATAACTTGAACATATTTTGTACTGTAACGCTGCATCAACTTCATCAAAAAAAAAAACGCTCAGTGTAGTCATCTTAGTCTGTTGAAGCGGAGGCGCAAACAGCTATGAATTTCACTACTGATATTCTATTCATATGGATAACAAAGAATCCAACTCGCAGAGGAATTATACTACTTGAAACGATCTTGTAAGTTGCTTATGATTTCTTGACATTTACTGAAATTTTTGATCTTTATTTCCTTTCGTTTTAGTGATAGAAGAAAACGATATATATGCATCACAACTTTTAACATAGACAGAGCGAAGAAATTCGTTCCGTTCAAATTTAAATTAAGGTCGCAACTAACACTAGCTCAAATAATGCGCCCAAAAAAAGATAGAAAATCGGCAAAAACAGCCTCAGAGCTGTTTCAGCTACAACATAAAAGAGGGAATCTCACTGAAATGGACCTTACTGA